CTGTCGCATCACTGCAAGAAGGTCGCTCGTTCGAGCCTCGGGTCGGTCAGTTGGCGTTTCTGTGTGGAGTTTGCATGTTCTCCCTGGGTTCGCATGAGTTTCCTCTGGGTGCTCCAGTTTTCCCCACAATCCAAAGACATGCAGTGCATATGTCGAAAGTGTGAGTGTGAAAGAGCGTGAATGGATGTTTCCTAGAGATGGATTGCAGGGCATCGGCTGTGTAAAACATATGCTGGATAAGTTGGCGGTTCATTCCGCTGTGGCGACCACGGATTAATAAAGGGACTAAGCCGAAAAGAAAATGAATGAATTGTTTTATAAGGTCAATATTATTACCCCCTTAAAGGTGCAGTTAGTTAGTTTGACACCCTGTGGTTGAACTAGGTATTGCATTCCTGGATCAAAACAAACGCAAGCGCTGGTTGCCAGATTGACGACCAATGGAGCCAATCTCCAGCCTAAAGGCTGACTTGGGGCTCATTTAAATCGTGTTCTAAATGTAAACAATGGCACGCCATAGAAGAAAAAATTTCAATATTTAAAGGAGTTTTGTCCTAAGCAACACCTGAAATTTATACTTTAGAAACGGCTTTAATTTCTCACCGCTGAACAACAGGATAAACTGACAATGATCACTTCAGGAAAACCCCATGTGCTTTATTCAGTGTTAAACAGCAAGAAGATCGCTGGTTCGAGTCTCGACTTTGCCAGCTGGCATTTCTGTGTGGAGTTTGGATGTTCTCCCCAAGTTGGCGTAGGCTTCCTCTGGGTGCTCTGGTTTCCCCCACAGTCCAAACACAGGCAATGTATTTTGGAATTGAATAAACTAAATTGGCTGTAGTGTATGAGTGTGTGTGAATGTGAGAGTGTATGGGTGTTTCCCAGTACTGGGTTGCAGCTGGAAGAACATCTGCTGTGTAAAACATATGCTGGAATAGTTGGCGGTTCATTCCGCTGTGGCGACCCCCTGATGAATAAAGGGACTAAGCCGAAGGAAAATGAATGAATGAACTATTATTTTTAAAAGTGTGTTGAAAAAATAACAGCACTTGGGAAATATTTGAAAAAGAATTACAATTTCACAGGAGAGCAAACCGTTTTATCTGTAACATTATATTGTGCTTCTCGTTTTGTTTTACCATTTCTGTGTCGTTTGACAACGTTTTCTTGTAACTCGGTTCATACTGGTTGACTGAGCTCCTCTCAGATGAGAAATGTTGCAGCAGAGTGTCTGTAATTCAAATTTCTGAGATCTTTTTATAGTCGGTGACCTTTTTAATACTAAATATTGCTGTGAAAGTCTTGAAAGGATGCTGGGAGTGAGACGGTGTCACAGATGTCAGAGCAGAAGGGGAGCGGGTTTACTAACATAATTATCAAGGTACTGAAACAATTAACACGTTTTAATTGGCTAGCAGCACTTGGCGTTTTGGTAGCGCGACAGGTCCTTTTTTAATTCATTTATTTTGAATGCAGATGTTTATGATGGCCTGTCTATATTCCACTTAAAGCTTCTGCTTGTTTGTGAGTGGTTTAAAGGTTAGTTTTTGTTACGTGATGTGAAAAAATTCTCATTTTATGTTTCCATTTTTACAATAGCAACACTTTATCTTGCTATTCACAGTGTATGTACCACAATTCCCAGTTCATATCTTACAGTTCTTATTTTTTATTTTACTATTCCCACCTTGTTTAAATGATGCAATTTTACTTTATAGCACACAATATCCCATTTAAATATCACAATTCTTACTTTATATAACACATTTCCCAGTTTATATCCTGCAATTCTTAGTTTACATCCCTCTATTGCAATTTTATCTCGAACAAGTCATGGTTACATCCCACAATTATAACTTAATATCCCTCAATTTCCAGTTTAAGTCCCACAATTCCCAATTTAAATCCTGCAGTTCCCAGTTTATATTCCACAATTTTAATTTATATCACACATATATATCTCAAAATTCTGATTTTATATCCCTCAATTCCAGTTTAAATCCCAAAATTCCAAGTTTATTTTCCACAATTCCAGTTTATGTACCACAATTCACAGGTTGTATCTCACAATTCCAAATGTATATTCCACAATTCCCAGTTTAGTCTATATCTGTTTATATCCTGCAATTCCTAATTCATATCTTGTCCCAATTCCCAACCTCACTTTTCCCAGTTTAAATCTGGCAATTCTTAGTTTTAATCTCACAATTCTCCGTTTATATTACGCAATTCCCAGTTTAAATCTTGCAATTGTTAGTTTATATCCAACAATTCCCTGCTTATATTCCACAATTCTAAATGTATATCCCTCAATTCCCAGTTAAAAATCTTGCAATTTTTTGTTTATATCTTGCAATTCCCAGGTTATATCCCACAATTCCAACTTTATATACCTCAATTCCAGTTTAAGTCCCACGATTCCAAGTTTGTATCTCGCAATTCCCGCTTCATATTTCATATTCATATTTTGCAGTTCTTACCCACGTTTACCAATCTATATCCCACAATTCTTGCTTAATATCCCACAATTCTAAGTTTATATCCAACAATTCCCTGCTTATATCCCATAATTCTAAATTTATATCCCTCAATTCCCAGTTTAAATCTTGCTATTCCCAGTTTATATCCCACAATTGCCAGTTTGTATCTCGCAATTCCTGCTTCATATTTCATATTCATATTTTGCAGTTCTTACCCACGTTTACCAATCTATATCCCACAATTCTTGCTTAATATCCCACAATTCTAAGTTTATATCCAACAATTCCCTGCTTATATCCAATAATTCTAAATTTATATCCCTTAATTCCCAGTTTAAATCTTGCTATTCCCAGTTTATATCCCACAATTCCCAGTCTATATTCCACAATTCCCAGTTTATATTTTAGGCAATTTGTAGATTATATCCTGCAATTTATACAATGTTTGTATCTTGCAATTCATAGATGATATTTCACAACTTCCATTTTAAACCTTGCAATTTCCAGTTTAAATCCCACAATTCCCAGTTTATGTCCCACAATTCCCTGTTTATATCCCACAATTTCCAGTTTGTATCCCACAATTCTCAGTTTATGTCCCACAATTCCCAGTTCATATCCCACAATTTCCAGTTTGTATCCCACAATTGTAAGTGTAAGTCTTATTTAATACGGTGTTTGTGTGTGTTTCAGAGCCTCAACTGAAGGGGATCGTGACCAGGCTCTTCAGTGAGCAGGGATTTTACTTGACGATGCAGCCGGACGGAACCATCAGCGGGACCAAAGATGAAAACAGCGACTACAGTGAGTCTTTCTCCCTCTGTTCCCACTTTCCTCTGTGTCAGAAACTGATAGACTCTCATATCCGAAAGGAAAACTAAGGACGGTTAGGAGGAGGGTGTTGCAGAAATAGCAGAAAGTGAAATATGCTACTCTTATTAACCGAGGACATTCTAAAGAGATCAAAAGCTTCAGTAAACATTCTATTTACATTCTAAAAATTCCTGTTCTGTTTTTAGAATGTTTATTCCAACACTGTTCTATTTTTAAAATAACATTGAAAAAGTCCATTCATAAGCCCCTTTCACACATACAGACTTTTCCGGCAATTTTCTGAAAAGGGATCATGTGTGAACAGGCCCTTTTTTAAAATACTGGTAAATCTGCTTTGGCAATTTACTGCAAAAAGAAGTTGTAACAATACAGGTAATTAGCCAGAATGCTGCTCTGTGTGAACGCAGAAATTGCCAGATAAAGAGAGTGCTCACATTTAAAATACACTGATGCGGGACGTCTACTCCGACCAATCAGACGCATTCACAATTATGCTGTCTATGAATACTTTTCCCGACACATTTAGCTGCTTGTTGTTAGTCAGATAATGTTTCTATGTTCCTTCTTACGCCAACTGTGGAACAAAATGATTGAGAAATTCTTATAATAAGCCGCTGTGAGTTTACCCGAAAGCTATAGGGGAATTACCAACCTACAGTACATCACACATGGTGTCACTGGGGATCAACAGTGCATACCGGTTGCAAAAAAAGACCAGTTGCAATAGGTAAGTTCACGCTATGCTGAATCATATTACTGGTTTTTGATTGCAGCAATGATTTCAGCAAAAACAGTTAAATATGGGTAAGTAAACTGCAGACACTGAATGCTTAGAGTGAAATGTAAAGATGTGCGTTCACATACCCTGCTGTACAGGTGCAGTTCGCTGTCAGAATGCAGTAGTTTTGCTTGTTGATGATTAGCCAGGCCTTGTAAAGGTTCGTCTTCTTTCCTTGTCTTTGCCTAGGCAGAGCCTCGGTTTTTAGCACTACATAGTTTTGAATCTGGTCATCATGAGACATAATTTCTTTCACATGACCACACAGAACAACATTGTAGGCATCCAAAGACTTGAAGGCCTTTAACTTCTCTCTTGTAAAAACACTTGGAGTTTCAATGAGACTCCTAAAGTAGATTTCAGTCATTTATAAGAAACTTTATTCTGAAATTCGACCTGTAAGTGAGTGAGTGAGTGTATATCTTGTATTTCTGACATTGTACAAACCAAAATGTCCCCACAAGTATAGCATTACCAGTACATTTTTCCTTTGTGGCAACATTTTTTTTGGTCTCCATGAGAAAAAGACTCATAAATCACACAGTATGAAGTATTTGGAAAATGTAAACATGCAGATAGTTTCCTGTGAGAGTTGGGTTTAGAGCTAGAATATAGAATATACAGCTTGCAAATACCGTATAAAAATCATTCAGTCCCCGTAAAGATAGTTATACAAGTTTTATGTGTGTGTTTGAGATTTTGCCTGATCTCGCAGTTATGTGTATTTCCTCAGATCTACATTTGCATTACTCACTCACTCACACACATACACACACAGATTTGAGAGCTCATCTCCCCAGGGAGTTGGAGAAGGATGTTTTACTTATAAAGCAGAGGATTTCGAAGCGTTCATCTCTCTTCCAGCTCCTGTATTCTCTCTGTGGTGAAGGTGCCCACTCATGTTTGAATCTCCTCTGAAATGCCTTTGAATTGCACTGTCTTCCTTCTTATCTGCGCAACTCACATTAGCGAGTCCAACAGGCTTAAATGCAGTCATTGTCCGAAACACGTGAAACACGCTCAAGTCTTACAAGAGATTCAGTGTTAAAGTCAACATGGGATGCACTCTTAATCACATTTAATTACTAGAATGTAAGCTGAAAAGCATTGCATTAAAAGTTCTAAGCTTAAACTGTTTTTGCGTTGGATTTAAAAAGTAAAGAGTAATGTACATCTAGTCGGTTGTTATGATAGAATAAAGCCTGATTTTTTTTATGCAGCCTCAAACAAAGCAGAGCACTGTTGTAGAAGACTGAAGGGTTTTATTCTGCAAAAACAACCATCCTAGATGTACTTTACCCTCTTTATTACATTTTTACTTGCCATAAACATTAAATTAGACACACAAATATTGTTCTGAGCTATAATAGTTTAATAATTATTTAATTAAACACAAAGCTGACAGAAATTTAAACAGCTAATGGAGTATACACTAACCTGCGCATTATTCAGACACAAGAGGGCGCCAAACAGTCAAAAAGAGCAAAACTGACAGAAACGAAAACAGTTGATGGAGTATACACTAACTTGCGCATTATTCAGACACAAGAGGGCGCCAAACAGTCAAAAACGCAAAGCTGACAGAAAACAAAAACAGCTGTTGGAGTATACACTAACCTGCACATTATTCAGACACAAGAGGGCGCCAAACAGTCAAAAATGCAAAGCTGACAGAAACAAAAACAGTTGATGGAGTATACACTAACCTGCACATTATTCAGACACAAGAGGGCGCCAAACAGTCAAAAATGCAAAGCTGACAGAAACAAAAACAGCTGATGGAGTATACACTAACCTGCACATTATTCAGACACAAGAGGGTGCCAAACAGTCAAAAATGCAAAGCTGACAGAAACGAAAACAGCTGATGGAGTATACACTAACCTGCACATTATTCAGACACACAGATTTGTCAATCTTGGTGATGCAAAATACCTGCAGTTCTAGATTTAGATAATATAACTTCTAAATACCTTTTAATTAACAGAGATTGGTTGTAGTTGTACATTTTTCCGTAAAATTAAGGTTTAATTTAGTACATTATGTTAGAAATTGCATTTGGCAAAGCTGTACTCAAAGTAAAATACTGTAAAAGCACATTAAAACAAAATTTATGGCGATTAACCTGAAAGTTGGACGTTAAACTCTGTAATTTCACAGAATTTATCAGTTTTCCACAGTTTAAATGCAATTTATGAACAGTAATAAACTGTTTAATTAATTTTTACCGTAAAGTCTGTTATGTATGTATGCACTTATGTATATCTGGAGGCCATGCGGCTATTCTGCTATTCTGTTTTTTACAGATTTTTTTTAACAGTGCATAAATGTGGACATATTCACGAAAGGTCAGGGTGATTTGTGGTACGCATATGAGCTTATTTTATTAATTTAATTGGTTGTAATCTGGGAATACCTTGGAATGTCAGTAACCAATCAGAATCCAGTGTAAGTGTAATACAAGTGAATGCATGGTATTGTTTATGAAGACAGTTTCAGTGAACAGCATATTGTGTGGTTTTCACACCATAGGGAATTCTCCTATAACCCGATCAGACAACTGTGGGCAAACATGTTTTCATCTAAAGTGAGAATATTGATCAGCCAGACAACTGAACCCAGGACAGGCAGAATCTGCTTGACTTCCTGCAAAACTGATGAATAAGCAGTAGAGAGAAAAAAATGCAAATCCACTTATTTTTTTAGTTTTTCGTTTCGACGGTAATTCCATAGATTGTTTCATAAAGATTACTTCTTAAGAGCATCATGATTTCGGTTCTACTTGTTACATTTTCCTTTATACATACAGTACATAGCAGATCTAAACGCATTAAAAACTCAAGACGTAAAACATCGGGACTGTTCAAAATTGAATAGCCAGCATATTGGTTTATACCTATTTTTATGGTCATAAACAATACAGTGTAATTATTGCTTTCATTATTGCATTTTTATAGATTCTTGATTCTTGATGCTTCTCATTAGTTTTTGAACTGAGTGAATATTGCCATTCTTTACCTAAATTCTGCATTTCCTTGCTTTTCTGTGTTTTATGTATTATTTTTTGTTAGGTATTTGTTAGTCATTAAATTATTACTGTTAAATATTATTTTATACCACCAAAATAATATTTTCATACATGCACCAACTTTAAAGGGCCACAAACCCCCTGTTTCAGAACGATGTTTTCACACCTCTAGTTTGGATAAAGTCAGGAAAGTGGGTGTGTCCAGCTCTGTTTAAATGGGAGTGTCGGGGAAGGGAAACAGGGAAGATTTTGCATAAAAATGGGAGTTTCCGTTTGGACATGCGCTGATTTTCACAGTGGCAAAACAAACACACAGACGCAGGGGAGACAGACAATGACTGTGTTTACATGGACATCAGTAATCCAATCATTTGCCAAATTAATAATACGTCGACTTTAACTGCAGTTCGGCACTTTCACTTTCATTTAGGAGCATTTCCTGCATGCCCTCGCGACAAACGAGATATTGGATGTGAGGAACTGCTGGAAAAGTTTAGTTTTATTGGAGTGTTTGATCCGGCACGGCATATGAAAAAAAAACCCTCTGCATTTCTCTGTAACTTAGATGCACTCAGTAGGTAGCTTCAGAAAGCCGTTTGTATATAGACTTGTGTGTATTGACGATCCTGTCACAAAATGCGGCAAAAATTCTACACAACGGTGATAGTTTGATTGCGGTGTGTACATGTTTATACTCGGAGAGCAGCATTGACAGTGGATCTTTCAGTCCATAATATTGTAGTGATATTAACGTACTGTAACCTTAGTAACTAAATCATTTTGACTAAGGTCTGTCTTTAAACACTGAAAGAGTACTGCTGACCATACAAACTAACTTTGCCTCTGAATAAACAAACAAAGAGCACTGATCGCTAGGCCTACCGGAATCTGCGCACGCAGAATTCCGCAGATTTTCCGCAGATTCCTGCAGATTTTTAGCCCATCATTAATTCAGTTTATTTACTTGAGTAAATGTGTGAATCTGAATTTTTTCAGTTTTTATTCAGTAATTTATTACTTTTTATTTAATATATTAAGGTCTAAGTTATGATACTCCGCTGGATACTCCCAAAATAATTCCGCAGAAATCCGCAGATTTTTACCAAAATTCTCCGCAGAAATAGCAAAAAACGTCCACAGATTCCGTCTGGCCCTGCTGATCGCTCACTTACCAAATCTGTAGAGACAGGACAATCAACACCAACTGGAGCTGCGTCTTTTTTACAAGTAGACGAGCGGCAAATCCAGATTTCACCATTTCCAGATGAGAAAAGTCCTTATAAACATGTTTCTGTCGCATGCACTGTAGTCCACACACCAGTCCAGCTGCTCTCTCATATTGGGGAAATGAAAACAAAACCTTCATTGCAGCACATTAATAAGCGCAACACTGACGACCCGTGTCGTCAATTCTTGTTATTCCACCTGTTTTTGGCAACACAACGTGGTGTCTCTCTGCCGTCTGAACACTGTAACAGGTAAAAACAGTCTTCGAAGCTATCATGCATATTAACGAAGGTTCACCTCATACGCAATAGTGTTAATGAATTAATGCTGCACACTTAGAGACGTCACAATTTACTCACCGGTACAGACATCCAGTCTTATTTAACAGAAGACCACAATGGAAATAAGCCCAGGGCTTTATTGTGTTTTTATCCTCGACAGAATTTTTTAACAAAGTGTATGGAATACTTTTTGTACAGTTTGTCTAAAATATGTCAAATAAAATTCAATTCAATTCAATTCCACGCTGAAATACACGCAAGAATCTAATCGATGTGATGCAGCTTCAAAAATTAGTTTTAAACCTATAGAATGAATTTGCTTGAAATAACACAAAAACAACCAATAATAATAATCTACATTTTTTAAATAAAATATGAAAATAATAGTAAATAAATAAATAAAATAAATAAATAAAAGGACTGCCATCATGAATTATTTTCGCTGCTGCCAGAATTTTCAGTTATCACACAATTGTACAGTTATCTTTATGGGGACATCCCACAAGATTAATCATTTTTATATTGTACAGCCTGTATTTTCTATACTCTACCCCTAAATCCAACCCTTACAGGAAACAATCTGCATTTTTACATTTTCAAAATGCTTAATTCTGTCTGATTTGTGAGCCTTTTTTCTCATGGGCACCAAAAATATCCCTATGAGGTCAAATGTTACTGTTATTGCTATTCTTGTGAAGATATTTGGTCTCCACAGCGTTAGGAATACAAGGTACTGTATACACACTCTTTCTTTCTCTCTCTCTCTCGCTCATTAGATGAATAGAATTATAAACATGAATTCTCTCTCATGTTGAGCTCTCAATCCCACACACACACACACACACACACACACACACACAGTTCTGATCTGATCCTCCTCCGCTGCCTGTGGATTTTTACGCACTGGTTCTGAATCTGCAGCAGTGACACGAGAGCTGAAAACCTTCCTCTGAAACTCACAACCTTTATTTCTCTCTTATTCTATCCCTCAATCCTCCTTTGAATAATGCTGTGCTGTGTGTGTGAAACACCTGTTCTTCGAGACGCAGAAAATCTGCTTGGAATCATAAAAAGGACCATAATATGTTTGCAGATGCTTGGAAAACATGCTAAGCGAATGTACTTGTTTGTCTGAGGAACAATGCTGAAGTCAGTTATTCTGCATTTGGGAATGTGCGTACCATTGTTGAATGTCTGCCTTTGTTTTGATCAGAAACTCCGCCCACTCACAGTTTAGCCAGTTATATTTCAGCACCATGGGTTGCCTTGACAGAAAACTGTATATTTTATCTAAGTCAGGTGTGTCCGAACTCAGACCTGGAGGGCCGGTGTCCTGCATAGTTTAGCTCAGACTTCATTTAACACACCAGCCTGGAAGTTTTTGTATACCTAATAAGCTTTATTAGCTGGTTCAGATGTGTTTGATTGGGGTTGGAACTAAAATATGCAGGACACTGGCCCTTCTGGACTGAGTTTGGACACCCCTGATTTTAGTCATGAAAGCTGCCTAAATATATGCGGGGATAGGAGAAAAGGTGTCCCTTTTGAAGACAGTAGCAGCCTCTAAAATAAGACGCAGTTTCAGAGTCATAAAAAACACATAAGCTAGTTTTTAAATAGCAAATAATACAAATATTTCAAACATAAGCATTAGCCGAGCAGCTGACAGTGTAACGCTTGATAGTCAAACACATTCACTCCTGTTTGTGTTATCAATCTGGCAACCTGCCTGGGCTTTGGAGGAGGTGCTGGGTGAAAAAACCCGCTCCGATATTTGGAATCCAATAACTAATTCAACCACTAGGATTGCATGTCAATCCTACATTCTGCAGCTTTAAGTCTTTATAGGACACTCTTTAAAAATACTAATTGGATAAACCTTGTTGTGTGAACTTTTCTGACAGATTTTTTTTTTCAAATACAGTTAAAGTCAAAATTATATTATATATATATATAAAAAAAATATATATATATAGTTGAAGTCAGAATTATTAGCCCCCCTTTGATTTTTATTTATTTTTATTTTTTTAATATATTTTCTAAATGATGTTTAACAGAGCAAGGAATTTTTCTCAGTATGTCTGATAATATTTTGTCTTCTGGAGAAAGTCTTATTTGTTTTATTTTGGCTAGAATAAAATCATGCAGTTCTTAACTTTTTTAAACCATTTGAAGGCTGATATTATTAGCCTCTTTATACAATATTTGTTTTAGATTGTCTACACTACAGAACAAACTATTATGTTTAAAAACATGTTGTAAAATACTTCTTTCCATTTAACAGAAACTGGGGGGAAATATACAGGAGGCTTATAATTCAGAAGGGCTCATAATTCTGACAACTGTATATATATATATATATATATATATATATATATTTTACTCAATGTCAATCAAGTTACAAAATATTGGTGTATCTTCACCTGTAACAAAAGCACTTGAGACAGCGCTGGCACTAAATGGATCTCAGCAGATGTTCAGCTGTTGTGTTGTTGTGTTTCAGCGCTGTTTAATCTGATCCCGGTGGGTTTGCGGGTCGTGGCGATTCAGGGTGTGAAAGCTGGACTCTACGTGGCCATGAACGGAGAGGGTTTTCTGTTCTCTTCGGTAAGACATCACTGCTTATCTGTTTGTATAATTGCGCCTGTGTATGTGTGTGTGTGTGTCATGCTTGTTTGTTTTACAATTCACCGCTTTTTCTGTAATCACACATTCTGTTTTGTTTCTTTTCTCTGTAGCGTTTTTCAGGGTATGTACTATTATGCAATTTTGATGTGCTGTGTGTGTGTGTTCAGTGGTGTGTTTGTGTGTGTGTGAGTGTGTGTTTTGGAAATCAGTGTTATGGTTGTAATGTTTTGTTGTTTGTGCAGGTTCATGTGTTTGATGTTTTGTTGGATTTATCGCAGGTCAGAGCTACAGTATGCAGTATGGTCATATAAATGTTATTTGTGGCAGCAGCTGTTTATTTTAGAATAACTGAGATATTTATTTATAAGGAGAGTACTGTTTTCATGTTAATTGTAAAGAATTAGTAATTGTGTTGTGGTTATGCTTTATACTTATACAGTATATATATATATATATATATATATATATATATATATATATA